AGATAATAATTAAGTATTCTGTTAGAATTTAATGATTATATTAATTATATTTTAGATTTTTTATATTTAAAATGAGATGTTTATTTTGTATTTGATTGTGTTTATCTGCAGTTAGTTACACGAATTCAGATATGGGATGAAATCGGATAGAGATGAACGGATTTAAGAGTTTTAAGAGTTTTAGCCAAATGCTTTATAAGATAGTATATATTAGTTCCAAGAGATAATAAAGTGGTATTTTAAAATTGGATTAAATGCATAAAATAGTAATATACTTTCATAAATTTTCTTATTATAACATATTACTTTTATTTTTCTTTATTACAACAATATACTTTCAAATTATTTTTTACTACAACATCGTACTTTGAAAAATTTATCCATTATAATAACGAGTAATTTGTTACATTTGAAACAAATTACAAGGTTGTAATAAGAAATGTTACATCAGGTATACTGCTATTGTACATGTGGACAACTTACGTGACCAGGGACGTGGTATGAAAACCTGGTATAATGAGTAAACTTAAATAAAAATATTACTCAACGTTATAGTAGGTAAATTTATGAAAGCATAATGTCCTAATAAAAAATAATTTGAAACTACATTATTGTAATAAAAAAAATTAAAAATACAATGTTATAATAAGAAAATTTATAAAAATAGGTTACTATTTTATGCATTTTGCCGTTTAAAAATCCGTCAAACTTCTATAGATTTAACTGCGGTAGTTAGTTGTGACTTTGAACCGTAACGTGTACTTTACTTCTCAAATCTTGTGGAAAACTTTTTGTTTTTTTAGAAACTCTAATGTTACGTTATTAAAAAAAATCTATTATATTTAATAAAAAACATAATTTTATTAAAAAATAAAAATATAATTTATACTTTTAGTGGAATTAAATCCATTTTATACATATATTTTCTAAATCTGACCACAAGATGTTAGCGTATGGACTCAAACCTGGAGTAAATGAGATATTCCATCACATCTCCTAAATACTTAACCATGCCACCACCTTTGTGGTTTGTTTATACATATATTTGTGACTTCACACAAATACAAAAACTCTTCGAACACATTGAATTTTAATATACATTCAAGTGACGATCGAAATGTCATTAAACATATCAATATGATATATATATATATATATATATATATATATATATATATATATATATATATATAGAGGTTGGTTATTATACAACCCTTGACATTTGTGCAACCTATACAACTCAATCTCAACCGTCCATTTCATTTGATGAATATGTGATTTCATAGAAGTTTTGATTATTTCCAAATATAAAGTATTAATCATAATTAATGAA